TTCAAAATAGTGAGTTGTGTGTCATTTCAAGAATGGCAAAAAAATGTCCTGGGTATTACTGGATGCATTTCATGTTCATCTGTTTTAAACACTTTACAGATTTTTTAAAAACTTCTATCATGGTACCTTTAATTTTCAAAATTCTCCATCTCTAGCAAAAAAAAAAAAACTATCAAGTTTGCAGTATGCTACAATAGATTTGTCGTTCTTTTAAAGATAGCTGACTCATAAAGGAATTCTGGGTCACAAAATACAATATGACAATCCACTCAGGCTCAGCTGGCCCCCCGGCTGCTCCTCAGACACAGAGAGTGTACTCCTCCTGCCTGGGGCTTTCACACACACTCTTCCTGCCACTGCTTTGCCCCCAGATAGCCCTGCCTGCTCTGGTCTCTGCTCAAATGTCAGTCTTATTACCAAGGCTTTCCTTGCTGATCCCATCAAAAACTGTCATCTCACAACACCAGTCCAGCTGACTCTAGCTCCACTATTTTTGTTGCTGTTTTCATTGTCTTATCTCCCTGGTAGAATGGGAATCCCAAAGGAATGGGGACTTGATCTTTTGTTCACTATGTGTGACACTGCAGGGACTTGACGCAATGGGTTCAACAAACATATATGTGTTGAAATAACTGAGCATGGGAACACACCAGCCACATGTCCAGACTTTCAGAGATGCTGCCTGCTCCAGCCCTGCTGCCCACCCCCAACATCCCTCCAAGGCCAAGGGCACAACAGTGCTAGCATGAGAATTGTGCTAGATGACCACACCTAGAGGGCCTCCCCTGAAACTTTCTGCTCATGCAAGCCATAATAACAACAGCCATGATGCTCCCCACAATTAATCACTTCCCATGGAGGAAATCCTAGCTAACTTACAGAATCCATATGAATGGGGGTGGCACTTCACAGTAGAAAGAATACTGAACAGGTCATTAGGAAACTCTGCCTCTAGTTCTGGGGTTCCCATTTGCCAGTTACGTAGCCCGAGTCACTTTATTTTTCTTGGGGTCAATTTCCTTTGGGCAGAAAAAACAGGCAAGTGTTGTCAAGAGTGGATACAACAACAAAAGGGAAAATACCTTGTGAATCAAAAGCAGCCATGGGGAATACAGGCAGGAGGGGGAAGGGGGCATCGAAGACTTCCAGACTTGGGGTTCTGGAGTCTTCTAGAATAAATCTAGGCTCTATGACTAACTGGTTGTGTGAAATTACACATTACTTAACTTCCCTGACTGTCATTCTTATTTGTAACGTAACCTGCCAAAAAAGGGGCTGGAAGGTGTGGTGAGATACCACAAGACACAGACTAGGGCACTGCTCACTGCTGCTTTGGGTCTTGCTTGTAACATGGTTACTGTGGTGGTTTGAATGAGAAACCTCCCCCGTAGGCTTAGTTCCTAATTGGCACTGTCTGGGGAGGCTTAAGTGGCACAGTCTTGCTGGAAGAAGGGTGTCACGAGGGGTGAGATTTAAAATTTGAAATCCACTTTCAGTTTGCTCTTCCTCTTTATGCTATGGTTGAGATATAAGCTTCTTGTTCCAGCCACCATGCCTGCCACTTGCTGCCATGCTCCCCCTGCACCATGATGAACTCTCATCCCTCTGGAGCCACAAGCCAGGGTAACCCCTTCCTTCTAAGTTGTCTTGGTCAAGGTGATCTACCACATAAACAGTAACATGGACTAACATAGTCACTGGTAAGGTCACTTGGTGGTGTCTCAAAATGATGCGTCTCAGCTCAAGTAGGAAGAATTGGGGGCTCAGTGCTGTGTCCACAGACAAGTGTTCTGTGTCCCTGGTCCCTATTCTTCCAGCTATGGACAACCCCTATTGTAACATCTGTGTGTGGCTGGGAGGAAACAGCTCTGAAGAGTCACACATGTTAAATGTTCCAACAGAAAGACAGTTTCACCCCAGAGATGGGAAAACCAAGGGGGTGGAAACATGAGGTTTTACAGAGCATGTGGGAGGGACAGACTGGGTAGAGCTCAGGACCAGATGGGGACATTTGTGTGCTGGGAATTCCAATTGAGAGCTGTCAGGTAGAATGATAGCCAGGTCATCCAGACTCAAAAGATCTCCTTGTGTTTGGTGTATATGTTTGGTGTATTAGTATTAATACACTAAACAAATTAATCCTGGCGCTGACATGTCCTAGCTGTGTGGTCTCAGTTTCCCTGTTCTGTGAAATGCTTATGATAGTAGGGTCCATCTAAGAGTTGCCAAGGAGCTTAAATTTGCAATTCCCATGTCATACATAGAGTGGGCATTATTATATTTAGTTTATGCGAATTAAAATACACGCACTTAGCTTCAAAAGTAAGAAAATGGGACTGAAGAAATGGCTCAGCAGTTAAAAGTACTTTCTGTTCTTCCAGAGGACCCAGGTCCAGTTCCCAGCATCCACACTGGGGGGACTCAAAACTGTCTGTACCTCTAGCTCCAGGGTCTTTGATATCTTTTTCTGGTCTCCACAATTGCCCCCACACACTTGGTTTACATACACACACACAGACACACAGTTTTTAAAAATTAGGCTATGCCTTTAATACCATCACTCAGGAAGTAGAGACAGACTCATATCTTTGAATTAGAGTCCAGACTGGTCTACATAAAGAGTTCCAGGACAGACAAGAATGCATAGGAGACCCTCTCTCAAAAACTAAAAAATGAAAAATAATAAATATTTTTAAATAAAGAAAATAATATAAGTTGGGACATTTTATGCAGTGATGCACAGGCTACAGCTGAGATGTCTGGGTGTCTGTCTGAACATGGCTGAGATGACTGGGTGTCTGTCTGAACATGGCTGAGATGTCTGGGTGTCTGTCTGAACATGGCTGAGAAGGCTGGGTGTCTGCTACTCTCTCAGCTGGCCTCACTAGGCCTTTTGCTTGGAGCAAATGAATTTCTCCAAGCATCACCATTCACCCACCCCAAAAAGCCAAAAGATAGCCCCTAGAGATGAATTAACTATTTCATCTTATTGTCACTTGGTGAGAAAGTTGCCTGTTGCCTCCCTTGGCTTTCCAGAGTGGGAGACTGCCTGGAAGGAGTCACAGAACCTCTCCCTAAGCAGGATAATATTCCACTGACTCTCCCAGTTCTCAGTCCTTTCTCCCTGGTATGTAATAACTCTTGGAGGAAAACTTAGTGCTTGGTACTATTGCCACATAGATGCAGCTCCTGGAATATAATGTCAGGAAACTGAAACACAGATGGGGGGGGTACTTACCATAAAAAAGTAACCTCAAATCCACTCCACATTGCCATTTTTAAAACAGTTCATTACTAATGAAGATGCTGTCCTTTAATGAATATTAGTCATGAATGACTCATTCCTCCCCTTATTGACACACTCAACTGAAACTGCAACTGCAGCTCCAAGTGCTACTGGCCTGTTTACCAGGCAGCCTGTCATTCATTCACACACTGATGTCCATGAGTCAGTTTGAGAACTAGTCATGGAAAGGGGGGAGGAGAACCTCAGGGCTTATGTCCTGACTCTGTTAACATGTAAACTCTTACTGACCTGAATTCCCCACAGTAACATTAGAGACATTTGACTTCTTTTGTAACTGATCTTGGCTAAGTACCCATACAATAGAAATTATCATTCATTTACAGTTTTATTTACAGTGACTCTCATGTTTCCTTAAAAGTACTTTAAAAAGTAAGATTTAGTCCCCCTTCAAGCATAGTTGTGAACCAATTAATTACCCTGAAGCTTAAAAAGGGAGAAAAATGAAGCATCAATTCTGTCTTTTCTGTATGAACCAGATCACCAGGAAACAAATGAGGGAAAGCTACTCTTTGTAAAAGCATTGCAGCTAGTAAATGCAAAGCAGACATCCCCATCTAATAACCCCCAATGAGTGAATGAACTTAGTGCTGAGCATTGGTCAGGCCAGCATCACCAAGATTCTTGAGCATTACTTGCCTTTGGTGACAGACTGCATCCGGAACCTAGGGTCACCTATAGCCTTACTAAGGTATAGAAGCTTAGTCTGACAAAGTCTGTAGACCCAGATTCCAATTTGCAGAAAGTGCAAGGAACAGAGAGGCATGCAAAGGTGCTGTGAGACTGCAGTAAGCAAACCCCAGACTGAAAACACTACAGATCAAATAGCCCAGAATTTTCAGCAGATCAAAGAATGTGACGGAAGGGCTTTGGGGGCTCAACTAGATCAGCAACAAAAGGTGTACCAAATTAGATGCAGGATATAACAACATCCATCCCATCTCACTCAGAGGGTGAGATTTAAATCAGTGTGTAGGTTGAAAGCTGAGGGGTCCAGAAGGATCCTACCAAATCCCTGAAAGTATCTTTAAGTCTCGAGGCCATTGGCCCTTCACAGAACCACATCTGCAGGAATGAACTCTTAATTTGCACTTGTGCTCTGGCCTCTTCTCCTGGGCAATAGAGGCCACCATCTAACAGGACCAGGGAAGGTCAGGTCCCACTGAAGTGATATCTTGCTCTTGCAGGGGAAGCAGCAGAGGGTGCATGAATGTCCTCAACTCACCCTGGCAGCCATGTTCTGAGCTCACCAGCCCTTGCCTACAACCCTGTGCCCAGCCTCGGATGCCCTCTTAGGGCTGTGCTCTCAGAAAATCCTTCCCTGTAAAGGCCCCTAGCAAAGGCCTTAGGCAACCTGCAGAGAGGTACACATGTTCCTCCAAAGAATGGAGAGGCTGACTGTAACTATCTAGAAGTACAAATTATAAATCTTGCTGAGTCCCTGTCCCCAAGTCACCCCTTAATGTTAGAAAAGTCTTGACTTGATTTGCCTGAGTTGGGACAGCATCTACTCTGGGGGACAGCATTCAGTGGCAACCTTGGGAACTGTTAGTTGATTTCTGTGGGGCCAGCATCCTTCACCTTCCACAAGGCAAAGTGGCCAGTATCTCCTTAGGATGGCGGCTGTTAAGATAGCATTACTGGCTAAAGCCTATGGAAACCCTGAAGTGGCTTCCCAGAGCAATGGACCAGTTACCATGGTCTGGAAGCAGGAATGGAGCTGAGTCAGGAATGGCGGCTTCCCAGGCAGAGCCAGCACCCGCTTCTCCACCATTGTGCACTCCACATCGTCATCTTGGATCACCACATCTTTTTTCAGGATCTTCACAGCATAGAGCTCATCTGTACCCTTCCGCTCTGACAGCATGACCTGGGAAAGACAGCAAGTAATCAACACCATTACAAGAGGCCTGGGGTACAAATATGGGTACCTAGAATCATGCAAACTTTCCCCAGCTTTGGACAGACATGCTGTGTTAACCAGAGAGAATGAATAACAATTTCCAGCCATCTCACACTTTGTTTTTTTTTTTCTTCATTTTTTGTTTAAATTAGAAACAAGATTGTTTTACATGTCAATACCAGTTCCTTCTCCCTCCCCTCCTCCTCTGCCCCCCCCCCACTAACACCCTACCTATTCCATACCATTTCTGCTCCCCAGGGAGAGTGAGGTCTTCCATGGGGGAGTCTTCAGAGTCTATCCTTTGGGATAGATAGGGCCTAGGTCCTCCCCCGTTTGTCTAGGCTGAAGGAGTATCCTTTATGTGAAATTGGCTCCCAAAGTCCATTCCTATGCTAGAGATAAGTACTGATCTACTACAAGAGGCCCCATAGATTTCCGCACCTCACACTTAAGTCTTATCAAGGGAAGATGGTTTTGGGAAAAATGAGAATATATTGAACCCTTTGGGACATCCATCAGTAACAATGCCAGTCAACATGGCTAGAATGACAATCACCACATGGAAGCAAGTTTCACTGTCTTGTTTTAATCACTGGCATAATTCCAAATCTTCTAACGTACCAGATAGGTGATCAGTAAATAGTAAAAACACAAGAATCAATGAATGATTTACCAGCTTGGTAAAACTGGGTTTGAGTTGAGGCCTGGCTCTTTCTAGACAGAAACAGAGGAGGAGTGGATGGGGGCACCAGGGGGATGGGATGGGAATAGAGGAAGGAGGGAAACTGTGGTTGGGATGTAAAATAAACAAACGTGTGTTTGAGACACCTACTTCTGTATTCCCTCCATGTGTCCTGTTCTGTAAGAGCCTGCTGGGAATGCAGCAAGAGTCAAGCAGGTACATTCCTTGACCCCGAACTCAAAGAGGAAAGGGGATCAGACAACTAATTATAGGAATAGTCAATGCACTGTTTTAACAGCCTTACCTGTTGTCCTGGGGCCTCTTCCTACAAGCTGCGGTCATAAGCAAGGTCAGCAAACCAGGTGGCTTATGGACACAATGCTATTTTCATTATCTTATTAGTATCCTTGGTCTTGACCATGTCAGAGGAACTATGCCCAGTGCATGATATTCTCAAGGAGGCTCTTGGGAAGCAAAAGCTTGGACCACATTCCAAGGAGACCTGCCCTGTTTGGGAAGGCCTCCCTGAGGAAGAAGTGATCTGACTGGAATATTTGCTAAAGGTACTATGCTATCTGTCATGTAAGCAACATTCATCAGAACCATATTTTTGAGCAGTTATCAGTGTATCAAGCAATTATTGCTTTTCATTTGTTATTTAGGAAGCAGACACTGCTATGAATCGCATAAGAAACTGGGGCATAGAAGGCTAAGGAGACTGCCGGAGTGCCACTCAGAGCAAGGGCAGGATTCGAACGCAGGTTTACAAGTCAAAGTTTCTGTCTTTATTCTTTTATTATTATGTGTATTGTATGCAGGTGCTCACGTTCCACGGTACGCATGTGGAGGTCAGACAACTCTCTGGAGTTGTTTTTCCTTCTTCATGTGGTCTGGGCATCAAGCTCACATTGTCAGGTTTGCACGGCAAATACTTTACCCATGCAGCCGTCTCAACATTCCTATCTTTAAATGTGTCACTTGAACCTCAGAAGAAGCCTCAAAGAAGTTAAGAGATTAAGGCTAAATCTCCTGACACAGGTGAACAAGAGAATGCAACTGAGACTTCAGGCCAGATGGAATAGGGATAGACACCCAGGAGCTTACAGGTAGGTCAGCATACCTGCTCAGCTCCTGTCTAACAGAAAAAGGTCCAACCAGACCCAGTCACGGAAGCTTCCAGGGTCCTGCATCCACACACAGACTCTCAGGCAGAGCTCAACAGCTTTCTTGAGCTCCCCAGCCTCTTGCTTCTACTGTCTCCTCTCACCTTTCAGTCAGTGGCACCAATGGGCACTACAGATGTGGGGCCATGTAGGATGCTTTAGGAAGACTTCAGGCACACAGATCCACTACAGTGGGCCTGTTCCCTTCCTCTGTCTCCCACAGAGCTTCCCATCTCAGTGGCTGTTACCTATGTGGCAATGTCTCAGTCCTCAAAATAGCTACTGGCTTAGGTGGCAATCCAGCTGCAGGGTTCCAGCCCTTGCCAAGGCAGGGATGATGACCAAAGGAAACCAATGTCCCAAGGCAGAGAATCAGAAGCAGGTAGGATTTTCTGCTCTCTGGTTGCAGAGAAATCTGGGAGGGAAGAGTACAAGGAACAGCGAGGTGATCTAGATTGGATGTAAGTGAGGAGAAGGATAAGTGATGGGAGGAGAGCCTGCACCTGAGAGGCTAAAATGTCCTGTTGCACCCAGACCTTCATCACAGTCTCCAGGACCCTCCTGTCTGTCTTAATGGAGCAGCAGGCAGTGAAAATATCCAGGACCATGGGATGATGACACAACCAAGCCACCCCACCTGCCCTCATGTGCCTTTTCCACATTATTCTTAACACCTAAAATGACATTTACTAACTGTTTTTAAGACTCTAGTCACTGCCTGGCATATCCGAGGCATTTAGGTAATGCTTATATGGGAAACAAAGACAGCAAAAGTAAAAATGCAAATAATTAGCCAGAACTAGCAATGGCCATGGCCACATTCCCCCGTGTTACTGAAGTGAAAATAAATCTCTTATTAATTGCATCAAGCAGTTCCTGGAGCTTCCAGAAACTTTAATACCAGCACAGAGGGCGTGGGTTGTTTGCCCAGCTGTCCCTGCATCTCCAGGGTGAGGATTCCACACAGAGTGAAAGGATGTGTTGAAGTAACGTTCTTATCAAATTCCAAGCCACATCTGTTACCCAAGAATCTTCAGGGAGAGATGTGATAAATAGCAGAACTCCAGTGACAGCAAATAAAATAGAGAAAAGCAGCCCAAGGACTCCCTGGTGGGAAGTTTGTGGTGATGAACTTTGCTGCCAGATCCCAATGGTGAGGTGTGCCCAGCATATTGGCCTCTGTCCACAGAATGGATAGTGCTCTGCAATGGTGAGTGTGTGGATTTGAGTTAGAATGACTGGTATATACATCCAAGATTGGCCATAAAGTAGTTGTGTGACATTGGGAAGTCCACTCAGCTTTTCTGAGCCTTAGTTTCCTAATCTGTCAAATGGACATGCCAAAAATCCTCAGCTGGTGGTCTCAGGAACCATATGGGATAGGGCGTGTATAAAATGCAACTTAATTCAACACTGTTTGGCAAACAATGAACACTTAACACTAGCATTGGACTGTCTCCTAGGGTGGGCACAGCAAAGAACAAAAAAAAACGAGGTGGCTTCAAACAACAGAAACATCCTCTCAGAGTTCTGGAGGCCAGCAGTCCAAAGTCAAGACGTTGGCAGGATCAACTGCTGATGAAGGCTACGGAAGAATTCGTCCTGTGCTCCTCCCCCAGCTTCTGGCAGCTGCCAGCAAGCCTTAGCACTCCTTGGCTTATAGATACATGGGTCACTCCAATTTCCACCCGTTTCTTCACACAGTGTCCCTCCCTGTTGTTCTGTGTCCGTGTCCAAGGTCACATTTCATTAGGACCCACTTTAATCCAGAGTGACCTCATCTTAACTCAATGACACCCACAAAGCCCTATGTCTGAGGAAGGTGGCCTTCACACATGCCAGTGTTAGAATTTGGGGTTGCATTTTTGAGGAGAGTGAGAGGGAGGACTCTGGATAGAATAAGCCCGGGGGATGGTTCATCCTTGAACCAAGTTCCCATGATTGCTTCTGACCAGCTCAGCTTCCACTCTTCTTACTCCCGAGCTCCACACACACTATGCTCCATGCAACAAATGATGCTTGAAAAATTCAAGCCAGTTCCTATCACTCCACTTTCTTGAAACCTTTTCCTGTCTTCCAATAGTACACGGAACAAAATACCTCTCTCCTAGGTGTTCAAACATCTGCGCTCTGACCTCCTAATGGCTGGTCACACTCCATGGTGACCCCAGCAGGGTTTCCTAACTGCCTACCTTGTCTAAGCATGCAGTGCTCATGTCATGGACACCAACCACGTCATCTCACTCCACAGCACTTTTCTTTTGTATGTATATATGTGTACACATGCATGGGTAAACACATGTGTACATACATGTATGTGTGTTCACCCATGAGTATACTTGTGGAGGCCAGAGGCTGCTTCAGGTATCATGCACCATTTGTTCCCTGCCTTATTTTTTTTTTTTTGAGGCAGGGTCTTTCACTGAACATAGAGCTCACAATTTTGGCCTGATTTACTGGCAGCTGAGCTCTAGAGATGTGAGCTCTGGGGATCTATCTGTGTCCACCCATCTTCACCCCAAATGCTGAGGTCACAGATGAATGCTGCTGTGCCTGGCTTTTATGGAGGTTCCAGGGATCCGAACTTAGATCCTCATGCTTGTGCAGCAGGCACTTTACCACAGAGCTGTCTCCCCCCATCTCCCTTGCAGCACTTTCCACAGCGGGTCCTGCATTGATCATCTGCCTTAGCTTTTTTCCTTTGTGAGGTCAAATATTTTGCCATCGCTTGTACTTCTAACATCTAGCACACAGTGAACAATAAACCAATATTTGTTCACTAAGTGAGTTAACAGATCTGAATGAGGAAAAGCAGCCACAACTCCCTAAATCTAGGTCACCTATCTGGTTGCTCGGAGCTTCAAGTGCTTAGAAGCTGGTATTATTTAATGCGTATATATGACTTCATTCAACCCATATTTCCCAAAGAACCTGAGAGAGTATTCAAGATTATATAACATAAACAAGTGAATTGTATGACCCAGAAACTATACCTCAACACAGATGGCTAAAAATGACGATACACTATATAGCCAATACTTATGTCTGTGTATTTGTATATGAGTGTGTGTGTGTGTGTGTGTGTGTGTGTGTGTGTGTGTGTGTTTGTGTGTATAGTAGAG